GTATTGCAGTGGCCTCTGCAAAGCGCAAGAGACGCCAGGTCGTCGCCCGAAACAGGACCTTGAATGCAACCATTGGGTCCACTGACTATTCTTATGTATCTTCTACTTTGCTAATTTAAGTAGGTGTGATTTATAAATCTCAGTTTGCTAACGCCGGTGGGAAGCCGATATGTGCCCAATGCAAAACTATTGGGTAATTGAGGATTACATTGCACACTGGCGGTCTAGTGCTCTATGCGCAACGTATGCATCCATGCCTGCCACAGCTCCGGTGTAATCCGTGGAGATACCATGTTCATTTTACGGACACGGGCTCAGTACACTCGCTTGACGGGGGGTCCAACGTAGAAATCGGCAGTCAGTTAAGTGGTTCAAGTTAGTAGCCATTTTGATGGTCTTGTGTGATGAATGTTCACTTCGTTGGGAGACGCGAGGTCAGTGAAAAAGGCACCTACATTGCACATTCTTAGCAAAAATGAACACCCCGTATCACCGTATCTCTTTATGCGACACAAATCATGAAATGTGTCGAAACTTACGAAGCATTGCTAATCACTCGTAAACAGGCAAAAACGAATGGACCAAGACTTCGAATTAATGGTAAACGGCATTAAGTGACGAGACACGCGACGAATGGTCAGGCACCGACGCGAGTGCGGAACAGGATTCCATGGATTTGAGGCGTCAGCGTCAATCGGCGGGTCACAACTCCGGGAGAGTGAGCTAACACATAATGCGAGGCGTCAAACCTTCCGATCCTTCCACAATCACCACTTCTGATTTGTGACAGAAAAAAGTCACATACTTTTTAAGCGGAAAACCATTTGATGATTTCTTATGTTAGTAGTAAACTGTCAACGCAATCTGTGTACTCTAGTCTTGACACAATTCGAGGCATAAGCGCGCGATGTTCTGTATATCGAAAATGTCACCGTTTCGTGGAGTAACCGCCTAGTGAGTTTGTTTACCAACCGAGCAGATCTACGCAACGGCACACGACGTAGCGTGTGCGCGTAAGGTAAACCGGACCACCCATAGGCGTGTTTTTGTGAAGGCAACAGGACCCTTTAGCGTGTGATACGGTCGAGCATAGCGGATATTTGATAACCGCGGGGAGACAGTGCCAGGTGGAGATGCGATCCGCGTAGAGGTCTACGCATGGCAAGAACGGGCTCAATGTGGCTGACTGAGCGTCACTAAGTAAATTACATAGGCAGGATGGCGCGTAATAGTGGAAGCTGGCCACGCCTCGCATGGGTACACGGCGTTGCACGTGCCCGCAAACTGATAGACACATGGGTCACCGGTTGGCGCCTCTGCGTTAGTCGCTGCACCGGTACTGACCACTGCTCACTGGACGGACAGCGGACTTCTTCCTGTGATGGATCAGTCGTGATCGGCGTCGGTTTTATTAAGTGGTATCTGCCGCTCTTCGACGACCTTGCCTGTGTGAAGAGAAATGAGTAGGCGAGATCCAGGAAGCAGTTCAGAAGAAGAAGATGATGAGGTCGCTGGCCCAGCCTTTCGGATTCTCACTCGAATCTATCATCACAGACAGTCGTAGACCAGTGTTATTTCGAATTGGAGAGGAAAAACTACCTACAGATACCGAAAATGTCACCATCTCAGGAGGCAACCGTTCAGCGAATTTGTTTACCAACCGAGCAGATCTACGCAACAGCACATGACGTAGCGTGCATGCATAAGGTAAACGTGACCACAGGCAGGCGTGTTTGGATGAAGGCAACAGGACCCCCTAACGTACGACTGTGTGGCGTATAGCAGGAAGTTGATAACCGTAGGGAGAGAGTGATAGTTGGAAATACGATCAGCGTAGAGGTCAAAGCATGGCAGCTGGCCACGCCGCGCACTGGCACACAGCGTTGCACGTGCCCGGAAAATGATAGACGCACTAGGTCACCGGTGGTCACTGCACTGGTACCGACCAACGCCCAGTGGATTGACTACAAACTTTTTTCTGTGAAGGGTCTGTCATGATCAGTGTCGATGTTGACAAAGGTATCTGCCGCTCTCCGTTGACGTTAAATGTTCCGGGAGAAACAAATAGGCGAATTCCAGGAAACAGTTCAGAAGGAGAAGAAGATGAAGAAGAAGAAGAAGAAGAAGAAGAAGAAGATGCGATTGTTATCCCGGTCTTTCGGGACCTTCATCACAGACACTCGCAGATAAAGTTTATTTTGGAATTGGAAAGGACAGACTATTCTCGGATTGCCAAAAATTTTGGTGGATGGTAGTTTGTTATGTTTTCAAGGCGATGCCAACCTCATAAAAACGTTGGCACACGCAATCAGCGTGACGATGTTGGCAGCGAAGGACTTAGATGCGATACAGTCAATTGACTGAGGTATGGCAAAAATGCAAGCAACTGCCTTGACCGGGTTCTATGGTCTCCGAATGTGCACGAAGTGAACCCTCCTCTTTGACCCATCAAAGGCACTTCAAGCAACGAACTGACAAAGTGGCTGTTTCAACGTCTTTAACTGCTTAGCTCCGGTTCCGACACCACAATCACCTCGTCAATGCCGTTCTGGGGGAAACTGATAGGGGCTACTCTCCTACCAAACGACTACATTCGATGCCATAGTTCTATTTCCAAAGTGTTACCATCCTCGTATGACCTTGGCACGCGCAATAAGCGTAATGTTGTTGGCAATGATGGTATTTAGTCGGTTGAGACTGTCAAATTACTCTCACAAAACAAATTGAATAGTACGGAGAATCATCTTTGACACGCGTAAATTCTCCAAAGCCTGAAGTTCTCTCTCTAAAAACATATTTAAATTTCGACGGAACAGTCTGCGAACCGGTGAAAGGCACGAAACTCTTTTTACCGAGTTCGGAACACATTGGGGTTTCGGTCCTGTAACAGTTAGAGTCGCTGGTCTTTCGACACAACAGACCTAGATTTTGTGATTGGTATATGGATAGTATTTTCGGCCCCGTGGACGGGAACTAGATGCTGGCATTGGAAGAACCACTCAAACGCCTCTTCTCAGACATGGAATTTGCGATGGAGGATGATCAAATCAACCAGATAGTTACCCTAGATGCTCTCGTCTGCCACAGAAATTGTTGTAGCCCTAAATGTGATAAGTACGACGCCAGTGCATAATGACGCTATATCAGCGTGATGAGAGAAACATTGCAGTGATAAGAAAGACACAGTTGCTGAATCGCTGCAACTTCGATGGGTGCTTAGGGCAAATGCTTAGCCTTATGACTCTCTCGACAGGTGCATACGCAGATGAGACGGGTCCCAGATTTTGGCGAGCGTTTCGGTGGCCCTCACGACACTTGGATTTGGGACTGCACACAGACCGGAGGCATCAGATCTAATGAGCCACTGCCGTGGCAGGAGACATCTGAAGATGTTTATCGAGTTTCCGTAATACAGTGGGTGACCGATCTCATGAAATGTTGTCCGAAATTCTGAAATGCGTTTTCGATTTGGAAGGATTACTTAGGTGGGGTTTTAATACTGATTATCATGTGGCATAATCCGGTGATATTTCGGACTTGCCAGGATGTCGGCGTTTGAATGCACTTCTTTTCAATCTCCTGCAAAACCCAAACTCGGTAAAAATGACTACTTAAGTAGCATGCATTTTTCGCATTGATTTTCGATGGTCTTATTAATTCAAATATATCTTATAGAAAACATGCACAAGAATATGCTGTCTGCTACTCATTCGGTGAAAAATCAGGTCGATTTTACATTTTATGTTTGAAGACAAGGTGTATTTAGGTTTTAAAAAGTTTTGCGATTCCCGAATAATTTTAAGCCAGATCAGTCGTTGCATCAGTACTTAGCGATTTCATTCTACGAGGCGCGTGCTTTACATGTAAGCAGAATAATGTATTCCTCTATGCCTTTAAAAAGATACTATTTGCATTTCATTAAATTTTGCAATGGGTGCGGACTATGTTGTACATTTCATGGGAAGCAATCGTAAACAGACAGGTACGATGCCGTACGAATGTAAATTGCACGGTCTTAAAAATCGTATAATTTAAAACCTTTTAGAACCTAAATATACCCTGTCTTCAAAAATAAAATGTAGATTCGACCTGACTTACCACCGAATGAGTAGAAGAAAGCATATTCTTGTGCATGTTTTCTATAAGATATATTTGAATTAATAAGACCATCGAAAATCAATGCGAAAATGCATGCTACTTAAGTAGTCATTTTTACCGAGTTTGGGTTTTGCAGGAGATTGAAAAGAAGTGCATTCAAACGCCGACATCCTGGCGAGGCCGAAATATTACTGGATTATGCCGCATGATAATCAGTATTACAACCCCACCTTCCAAATCGAAAACGCATTGCATAATTTCGGCCAACATTTCATGAGATCGGTCACCCACTGTATGTAACAATTTACTGAAGCAATATAAGTAGATTGTTCACGGGAAAACGGTCTGGGGGACCACATATGAATTTCTGCCAGCTAGACTAAGCGTTTCCATTTCACTTGCCTACTCGCAATCTGCATGCAAGACTTTCCTAAAAAATTTCAAATTATCCCATATTGTTGTGGGCTAAACCCAGGCAGCATGATTCTTCATATTTTGCGCCATTTCCGAAGATGGGGCGGCGTACGGGCCTCTACCTGATGATTTCAAATCGCCACATCTGCGACGAAAGAGTGCATCTCCTGTTACGTGAGAACACGAATGACCAGTTTCGAAACACCCTCATCTTCTTAAATGTGTTATGGAATATTCCAAGACCCAAGAAGCGATCACACAAATCGCTCCCATGACTGCCCACAATACCGAGTATGCTTTAATTTTTGTCAGCTAGTAATGTCAGCCCACCACGACCAACACTTTGTCATGTTTTAGAGACTAGCCCGGTGCTCAAATTCGACAAGACAGAGTATTCACTGAGGATGCATTGAGGTCTAGCAGAGGACAGTGCTGGGAGACACATAAGGGTGCCGAAAGAGCAACTTCCTTGGCACAAGTGAAGGACGCTAGAATTCGTCCTTGAAAGGGTACTCCGGATGGCCCGCTGACCTGAAATAAATAAATAAAAGCGTTTTAGACATACTGTTGTATCCACTTGGTCAACTCTTGGAATTCTCCACGTCCTCCTCGCAAGTGCTTCCACATTTGGTCCCTGGTGACATTCCCCTTTCCCCTTTTTGTGACCCTCTTTCGAACTGATCGGCGTTCTTTTAATCAACTAGTTTTGGTATTCTGACCTTGAGCTGGGAATTCAGTTTGCTCGAACAGTAACAAAGGAGTTCTTTGTCTAGAGTATCCACTATTGAGGTTTGTACGTTTTTTATTATTATCTTATTCTATCAGTAATACCGTATATACACCGGAATATGTTTTGACTTCTACGCGTAACTCAGTTTGCGAAGAATTCTACAGTACTCAACAATGGATACCCTAGACAAAGAATTCCTTTGTTACTGTTCGAGCAAATTTAATTCCCAGCTCAAGGTCAGAATACAAAAACTAGTTGATTAAAAGAACGCCGATCACGTTATGAAGAATTCTACAGACACCGATAGGAAGAAGAGGAAGACTCACGCTGGCATAGGGAAGATGCGATGGTTCCGGCTGTTGGCCTTGAGGGTGTTCATCTCTTCCGTCGTCAGGGTGAAGTCGAAGACCTGAAATCGATTAAGGACGAAGGTAACGGTCTAAACCACACGAAAACTAAGAATCGATGAATGTCTAAACAGGGACTATGATTTGAACGGTTAAGTAACTGGGAAGGCCAACCGAAGGCAGCTGCAGATGAGGTTGAGCGATAGACTGTATTTCCCTAATGTCGACGACTGTCTAGCTAACATTATTCGAACGGATGAACACTCGAAATATGGAAGCACTAGATGAGAACATGTGTTACTACCCATTTTCCGCATCTGTTATCGGTAAGATCGCAGTTGGCAGCCAGACATTATACGTTGATACTGTCGGCGTACGTACTGGTTATCAGTAGGTGTGCTTACCTTGTCTAGGGAACTTGTTATCAGTAGTTGTGCTCTTACTGAGTTAGGCAGGTTGCCCGTTTCGGTCAGGTTGTTGGCTTTAGTGAGGGTTAGGGTTAGGTGTAGGTTAGGTTTTAGCATTAGGGTTTGCGTTTTAGGGTCAGGTGTCAGTGTTAGGGTTAGAGTTTAGGTTGCCGTTAGGGTTCCCGATAAGGTTGCGGTTAAGGTTAGGGTTAGAGTTAAGGTTAGGGTTAGGCTTAAGGTTAGGGTTAGGCTTAAGATAAGGGTTAGGCCTAAGGTTAGGGTTAGGGGTAGGCTTAATTTTAGGGTTAGGGTTAAGTTTAGGGTTGGGGTTAAGGTTAGGGTTAGGGTTAGGGTCAAGGTTAGGGTTAGGGTTATGGCTAGGTCCTGGGTTAGAGTTGGGTTTTGTGATTTTGATTACTTTTCGCTTTTGAGGCTTGGGGTTACCCTTTACGGTTTCGGTCAGTGTCGGCTTTTATGGTTGAGTGTAGTGTTTGAACTTCCGCCATTATTACTCCTACTTATAGCTTTCCAGAACTTTCTGTGTTAACTTTACTTTTACCCAGAAACTCCAGCATTTCTCTACCAGCCCTTCCATTTACCCCACCCATATAACCTCCTTTCCCACCATTCCCGTACGACAGGGACCTGGCTGTCCGCCTCCCCATTCCTGGTTACCAACTGCGATCTAACCCTGTTATCATTCTAGGTGTCAGCACTTTGAGGACGCAGAGGATGGAGACGAAAAAGGAGAAGAAGCATTCGCTATAGCATGTCGTTTACCACTTCCTTCGGGTTAGCGAGCCCCATCTCTGTGCGCACACAACGGGACGTCGACGCCGCTGCCAAAGCATTTGTTTGTTTATCCACCGAATTCTCTCAGTTACGTATCTTATTTGTGCACGCAACGGCCCGAAGACCAACTCCAAATCCAAACTGAACTTGCAGTGTGTGACAGGACCATTTAACCAGACTGTGACTGGCAAGGCGCGTCAATGCGTCGCACGGGGCCTGTGTCTGCGCACCTTGGTTTTACACTGATCGACAAGGCGCAGTCGCTGTGTCTTCCGCTTAAATGTTTACATCTCACGGGTCGAAACGTGACGCTTTCGAAATTTACAGACGGCCCCACCCTCGGACATCCAACCTCCTGCGGGCAACTTCTGAGGGGCCATAAATGCTATCATTCTGTAGTTTAAAATAATTAGTAACTGTTCTACCAACAATTGCTTGTTAATTCTGTTTGTAATTTTGTCGAACAGGAATTTTTTGTGCAAAAATTAACAACTAAATTTGATTTCACTAGAAGTGTGGTATTAGAAAGGTGGTATAAACATCGTTCCTCCTCGCTGCTATCATGACTTGGCTGACTTCGGCCTGGCGGTTGGTTACCTGTTCGTGTCGGGGGGCCAACATATCGGTGTGCGCTCATTCCTGATTAAGCATCTCAATGTTCTAACTTCCTGCTGTCTTATAAAGACACCACGTCCACCACCAACCTTGGCATCCATGACCGAAGACTGGTCGGTTGCCAAAAATGCGAAAAAAGCTAGAGGGAGAGAATGCACTAAATTACTAGGGAAAGACAAATGAAGGGATTCGCACCTCGAAATTTTGCCTAATCCTGTCCGCGTTCTGGCTTTTGTTGAGGACCGCGAGACCGCGCTGTATGCCGTGTCGAAGTAGAACCTGGGCCGGCGTCTTGCCATGCGCAAGGGCGATTTTCTTCACAAATTCCTCCTCCATCAGAGACGGGACGTCTCTATTAGAAGGGAAAGTTAGTGTTAGGTTTCGGGGGATCAAGATCGTGAGGTATTATTATCAGTGCTCTAGTCAATCCTTTGCGATAGCTGAGTCGTAGAAGCCTGTGGTCCGATATCTAGACGTCAGGCTTGTAGCTGGCAACTCTGGTCTGAGTGCAACCACCGTTTTAAGGTTTTTATTAATGCAGGCATCGGCTATATGGTTGAATGATCCGTTGTTCTTCTTCTACACGAATGCGGGTTAACGCTGACGGTCTTTTCTTGCTATCAGCCTATCGCAGTGCCCTCGCAGCGATTACCATAAGGTGGCATAACTTGCGTTTTACGTGTTTAGAGTGAAACGGTCATTTTGAACCAAGCCGCAGAATCCACAGGGACCTGTGAGGCAACAGTAGACAAACGGTAGAGAAACACTTTAAAGAAGGTCCGTGGATCAACAGCTTCCGGGCCGGATGATATCTCAACTTTTCTCTTTGAACCTCGCTTTTCTCAGAAAGCCTTTTAACATGCCTTTCATGAAGTCCAAGATTCCTGACACCTGGTGTACATTAAGAATTACTCCTATTCACCAAAAATCCGTTAATCTTGGTCCTAGATCTTTTTGTTCAATTGCCTGCTCTTCCGCACTATTGAGGCTTGCTGGACGAGTTGCTCTGGGCATTATAAAGCCATTCTCCTCCAGTTTTTCCGATGCTTTACAATTTGCATATAAGGCCAAGTGTAGTACCTTAAATGCTGCTGCTCTAGTGGTCCACTCCGCCCTAAGGGAACTAGAAAAATGCTGCCGCGAGTGGGCATGTGCTTTTATTGACTCCTTACTAAAACATCCTAGTGTAATTCACCAGGCTGGATTGTCTCCTGGCTCGGTGATCACTATACTTCCCGCACTAAATTGGTCGAATCCGGCAAGCACAAATCTACAGTCCTTCGCAATGACTGTGGAGTTCTCCCAGGTTCCCCTCACCTCTTTTTCCTCCACACTGATGATCTAAGATCCACAAACGACTGCTGTTAAGTAAGTATGCGAACGACGTGGTTGTTGGCCATCCCCTCCAAAATCAAACACATCTCCAGTCTCTGAAGAGTGGCCTTGACCATATCTCTATATAGTCGCAGGAAAATGGTCTTCTATTGGATAATTAAGAAACCATCTAGTGTATTTTACGACTGTGACCAGCACCTAGTCCTTAATCCTTGGACATATCGTTATTGTTCTCCTGTCATTTGTCCTGCTTTGTTCAAAAAAGATCTGTCAATCTAAAGCGAGCCCTCCGAATATTCTCTTCTGCTGCTGGTGTTTCTTATGTCTTTTTAGTCGATGTTATCATGCAATGACACTTCAAAATGGTCAGGCCATTTGCTGATCGAATTCTGGATGACGTTGCCCATCCCCGCATTCTGAACTTAATCTCCGCAAATCCTCCCGCCCCAAGCGCTGTGGCTTTCGAAATATCTCTTGTCAGCACGTCAGCTTTCAGCATGGTCACTCCTGGCCGCTGTCTCACATGGGAAGAGACAGAAATACAGAAACTAAGACTTAAATTGTCCCCGCAATCGTTTTTCCCATCTGTGTAAACCTTGTGACCCTTGAGTAATTTGGTAACATTTATTCTGTCCGCAGCGAATAGAGTCCCTTTGTGCTGAAAACTTTGAATTAATGCTTTAAAAATAAATCGAATTCCTCTCTGTCTATGTACAGATTTAGCCATACATTTTTGAGGTTTGCAGCTAGCAGGTGTACCCACTCATTCATCCAGTACACCATTGCGTAAAAAACTGTCGATCCAGAAAGAATGCTTCAAAACGTTCATGGGTACATGGCCATTAACCATAGGGTATAGAGCGGAGGCTGCTGTTTTTATCGGGCGCTCATTCCTTAGTGTCTACCTTTGGACGCAGGTGAAATGCCCGGCCAACAACGCATGCCAACCCTGTCCACTCTTCTACCCTCTAGGGTCGGATGACCGGCCTCTGCAGATTTCCACCTTTGGCAGGATCCTTGGACAGCACGTCACACATCATAATTATGATAAGGTTAACCCTAAGATCAGATGGTTAGATGGTCCCCAGTCACCGAAATTCGTGATTCCCTGTTCAAGGAGTCTTCTGAGACGAAGTCGACTTAACTGATCACTGATTAGACAAGGGAAATGTTCCCACTTGTTAGTGTAGACTACAAATCCTCCATTGGATAAATATATGCCCGCTATATGGCATGATTAACTAGGAAATACTAGTCAGTTAGCATGTGGATAGAAAATAAACGGAACAATAACAATGGTAGTGCATATTGGCTTACACCTTTGTTCCCGGGGAACCGAGAACCGCGTAGGCGATGATCTGAATGCCCTTCGAGTGGGCGTAGTTGATCAGTTTTTCATTGAGCCAGTTCACTGATACTTCAATTTCGTTCACCGCGGGTGGTATCTTACACACGGCCAGAATGCGATCAAGCTGGGCCCTGTTGAAGTTTGAGACGCCAATTGACCGAACGTGACCGGCCTCCACCAGCTCCTCCATGCCCTGGTCGGCCGGTTTGGTAGTGCCAATGCCAGAGAAGAGAAGTGCAAATCAGACATTTTTATGAAAAAAAATTAATTCCGTCAGAGTGTGTGTACGCACGTCCGACTTCAGAAAAAGGCCGACTACGATCTCAACTGTTGGTAAGCTGGTGATGCGCGAGCTGTAATTCGGCTGGACAGGGAGATGCGTACCCCCTCCCTTTCTACAGGCTACCTCAAGCTGAATTCCTGGGGGTGGGGGATGGGTACCTATTCCCCGTGTCATAAATTTACCCGTCCCCTAACACCAAACCTTCCAACTTCAATCATGCCACTTTTCGAATCCCCCTTGGAATTTAGGTCAGGGCCAACTGAACTAAGGGGGAGGTACAGTAGGTGGGCTAACTCATGAAATGTCAACCGAAATTCCGAAATGCATTTTCGTTTCGAAAAGATTGATTAAGTAGGGTTGTGAAACTAACCAGCCTGCAACATAATTCTATAATATTTTAGTTACCTCAGGATGCCGGCTTTCGGAAGAACATTCTTTCCGTCTGCATCCAAAAACTGCACTCTGTAAAAGATGACTACTTAAGTAGCATGCATTTTCTCATTGATTTTCTATGCTTCTAAATGTCCAATTATATTTCATGTAAAACATGCCTTTAAATATTTATTGTTTCGCTCATTCGGTAGAAAATTACGTCTTCTTCTAATTTTATACATGAGGGGGAGACAGATTTCGATTTTAAAAAAGTTTCTAATTGTGATACTTTTAAATACTGCGAAATGGCCGTTCATAAATCGTCATGTCTCTTCATTTACTAATGTGGCTTGTAAAGTTAACAATATGGATCAAATCCACTGCTCAATTTTATGAACCCTATATGATCCCCCTTTACTACCGCAAAGAAATGTGCGGTTTTCCGTGCGCGGTAATTATACGGCTTGTAGTCTGGAACCCCTGAATCCAAGTGTAACGATAGAGCGGATTCAAAATTATTCGGGAATTGGAAAAGTTTTTGAAAACCGGATTATACTCTTCCGTCGTGTACAAGATTGAAAGAAGACGTAATTGTCTACCGAATGAACGAAATAAATTATATTTTTATGCATGTTTTACATGAAATATAATTTGACTTTTAGAGGCATCGAAAATCAATGAGAAAAATGCATGCTGCTTAAGTAGTCATTTTTAGAGAGTATAGTTTTTGTTTGCAGCCGGAAGGAAGTTCGTTCGAAAGCCATCATCTTGAGGTAAATGCATTATTATAGAATTTTACCGCAGTCTCATTAGGTTTACAACTTAACTTAATTAATCTTTTCGAAACGCAAACGCATTTCGGAATTTCGGTTGACATTTCATGAGTTAGCCCACCTACTGTACCTATTCCCATGCCCTAACTGTAAATCGACAGTACTGGCCATAGAAATGACTTTCCAATCCCCACTGCCGATAAGGCAAGGGCTTGTAACAGCTGAAATGCTGGCGCTGTGTTTCGTCCCTGCAATCCGTTGCAGAGTGATTAATACTCACTAATAAGGAAACACTGTATGCAAATTACAAGGTGCCCTAGAAGGACAGTTTTGTGCCAATTTGCACTCATCAGTCAGTCATGGTCATCTTCATCGGACCACTGGTTCACTTCCGAATTTTTAAGTTTCCCCAGTCTAGGCCGTTTAACATGTGACTGCCTGAGTGGGGGGGAGGGGGGGAAGTTAGGCAAGAAACTGAAATTCCGACCTCCTTGACGTCTTCCACGCCCATGAAGGTCCAAAGGTTAACTAACCTGCCACGTCTCCTCCAAGGGCACATCCTCGAAGTCAAATACGTCTGGATCGTACAGTGAGAATTTTTTACCCTCCTTAACCTGCAAGCTTAAAGTCGGTAAATGGGATTGACCTTCAAAGGCACCGGATAGTGAATAAGATATAAATCCAGGTATTTCAGTCCTAGCCGCCGCAAGCTTTCTTCACAAGCCGGACGCACATCCTTCAGACGATGCGCGTCGCACCACAACTGCATGAAATGCACAGGCTACTACGAGTGAATACCTTGGAGGTGATAAAAATATCCTCTCGAGTAATTGTGCCATCGTCAATTCGCTTCTTCACTGCATTCCCAACTTCACACTCATTTCCGTATGCGTGCGCGCAATCGATCTGCCGATAGCCTGCATCAATTGCCCAAAGGACAGGGTTTTCACCTTCGTGTGGCGCCCCCTGAAACTCGACAATTCGGCAGGAAACTAACCATATAGGTGCCAAAACCCATTTGGGGCATTCTGTAACCGCTGTTGAGAGTCAAGTAGGTTTGCTGAGAAGCCATGGGAGGGGGCAACGCACTTCACACTACCGAATACTGAATAGACCGCCTCAACGGGAGATGCTCGGTGCAGGTTAGCTTCGGGTAGCGTAGGTCTGGCCAATCACATAGAACGTCAGTTCTCAGTGTTCCAATCACGGAACTGGAGCCTGCTAATATGTATCGCTTCTAAACCAATTAGAGCGTGGCACTTTGTTTTCACTGAAAACAGCGTGGTTGACAGAAACCCAGTGATGCGCTGCCAGCTAACTAGCGGGTTCTGTCTCCCAATATATTCTGCATCTTCTGTGCCCAAGCTGCGATAAGATTGTCGGACTGTAAAAACCCAGTATCGTGTGTACGGTTTCGGAAACGGTTTTTTTCACATTTTATAATTCCTCGACACTACGATGATCACTATAGCTCGGAGGTTAGATCCAAACTCTCAACTAGCAGCGCACGTTGGAGAAGTTGGGCATACTTTTGATCTCCAGAGTACTACCATCGGCAGCGTACCTGTCAGGGGTTAGAGGTAGGGGTTAGAAGAAGAAAATTGGCTCTCCGGAACAGGTTTATTTAACTGCTGACGTTTCAAAGAGCTGGGTCGGCTCTTCATTGTCAAAGCGTAAACTGCACCTAATCGATCAGAAAGTTAACTTAAAGTGGCAAGCTGTGTTGGCCGGCCTCATGCTGATCGATTTTTCTCTCTCCTCACGCTGCGTCGGCCTCTCAGGAAATGGTTGACGGGCGTTTTTGCCTGTGCGCTTTATGAGTCACCACTCCGTCGAGGGGAGCTGATTGGACTTTAGTCGGGCGGTCGGTCTGGCGGTTCTTGTTCTTCCTCACCGAGTAAGCGCAGTGTCGGGCTATCTCCGTGCTGTCTTCTTAAGTCCGGTGTGGTTGTTTGGTCCTGAGATCTACGGTGGTGATGACGTAGGACTTTGTAAGCTGCATGAAGGTCCAGATGCCTGTTGATAGAGTGGGCATCGGAGAACCACGCCTCGAGAGTTAGCCGTTCTGTTTTTGTGTTGCCTCGGCCTAAGATGGTAGCCCTCTGGAGGTCAAAAGTATGCCTGTTCCGGAGAGCCAATTTTCTTCTTCTAATAATCTTCCCGGATCCCTAAACTTTTCCAATCTGAAGATTTAGGGGTTGTTGGTTGGGGTTAGGGGTCAGGGATTAGGGTTAGGGGTTACGTTTGGGGGATGGGGTTAGGCTGGGGCTTGTCTACTGCAGGTACGGCTACGAAATGAAATCCGACCCTACCATCTTAGGCTGGGACAACACAGAAGCAAAACGGCAAACACTCGGGGCTTGTAACTCCGATGCCAACTCCATCAACAGGCAGCTGGGCCATCCTGCAGCCTACAAAGTCCTACGTCAACACGTCCGTAGAGCTCAGAACCAAATAACCTCAATCGACATAAGAAGGTCATACATAGACAGACCGACAGCGAGTCTACCCGGCGAGGAAGAACCACCAGGCCGACCA